ATTTATTGCCTTTCAATTCCGAGCCTTACCGCATTGAATGCGGTCTCATCAAGGGAATGGTGTAATTAAATGTTTGCTTTCCCAAGTCGCGTGTCAGTAAGGGCATGAGGTCTTTTTGCCTCTGATGTGACAAAATTTGCCACGCGTCCATCCCTCATTGGCTGTGGATCCCGCCTTCCTGTTCCTTCTGACACCAATTGTGTAAGACGAGACCATGATAGCTAATCCAGACTAGCCTAAGCTAATGACCTGTACATCAATAGCTTATACTGGAGCAGAGAAAAAGGCATCCTGTACGGGGTACATCTCGGTACCGAGGATAGGTACATCTTGGTACCGAGGATAGGGTTCATCTCAAGCCGAGGGAAGCTGTACATGACGACCGAGGTACCATATCAGACCGAGGGATATNTAAAAAAATATGCCATTAAAAAAAATACACCGAATATTTTTTCATACCGGAGCTGCAAAATGGATGTGCCCTCATGTTGTGACACCCAAATGGATACATCTTGTTCCCACCATCCCACAAGCCACGGGCAGCACAAATCTTGTGCCTCCCAATGAGGACAGCCATTGCACTATTCCTTGCAAACAGCCAATTCTTCTATTAATATACCATTTAAATCTATAATAAAATAGCAAAACAGTGCAAACACTCCCTTTGCACGTGCAAATCTCACCAAAATTTTCCCTTTACCAACCATAGCGTCTCTCTCTATCTCTCAAGCTTGCCACATTCACCTCGCCAACCCACCACGAGACTTACGTGTCCCCTTTCATTTTTCTTATAAACACCATCCCTGCAACCCCTTCTCTTCCCCTCACCAAGTCTAGCTAGTTGCCAATTCCTTCTTCATGGCTGAGCCTCAGGGTGGTGATGGCGCATCTGACGGTGGCCGGAAGGGCAACGGAAAGCGAGCTAGTAGTGCAGCAGAGGGGGAAGTTACGGCGGCCACAGTGGCTACGCCTACTGCTCCATGTGGGGCGTGCAAGTTCTTGAGGAGGAAGTGCATTAGTGGGTGCATCTTTGCTCCCCACTTCAGTTCCGACCAGGGGGCGGCTCGTTTCGCGGCTGTGCACAAAGTTTTTGGCGCAAGCAATGTGTCGAAGCTATTGTTGCACATTCCGATTAACAGGCGGCAGGATGCTGTTGTTACCATATCATATGAAGCTCAGGCGAGGTTGTCTGATCCAGTTTATGGTTGTGTGTCAACCATACTTGCTTTGCAACAACAGGTTAATCGATCAAACTTCAGGCGAGGTTGTCTCTATTTAATGCATGGATTGGATTGCCGTAGTAACCAGTGTAGTGTAGTCTGATGGAAAACTAGTTTCAGATTCAAGCCAAACTAGTTTCAGATTCAAGCCATATATTTATGCTAAGCTGCTCACTATCCCAATAGAATAGCATATAATTTATTTTTATCTTATTTTTGTACCTTTTCAGAAACCAATAAATAGATAAGGTAATTAATAAATGTTATAATGAACTGCTTTTCATTAACATACACCTTTTTATATTAATGGTAATCTTTTCATTTTTTTCTCTCTTATATAATTTTGTGTAATTTTTTCTTTTTTTTTGTAACATTATAACGAACACTCTTTATTTTAACATATTTAAATAGCGAATCTATTGAAACTTACTTTTTGATAGTTAACTCTCTAAAATATGGAGTTTAGTGAGAATAAAGAACCTAAAAGAGATACTCTAACCAGGCACCTTGCCCCAACTGTTTTTGCTATTTAAATAATGATTCTTATAAAAATTCTCATGGAAATTAATGTTAAAGGCAGATGCTTCTAAGCTGGAAATATGGTGCTGGCTATTGGTTTGCATAGAAAAGAACAGGAACAAATAAATCCTGCAATTCAAAATGCGAGAAAAACATAATAGAAGGTGTTCAAGCCTGCAATTGAAGCTAGATTTCAACCACCACAGCAGAATGTAAAGCCAGAAAAACCTTTTTGTTATCCCCATTAGCGGATTTAGTATATTATCTCATGGAGATAGTGATTATTTTGAACAACAGAGCGATAAAGTGATAAAAGGTCAACCCATATGGGCTAAAAGAAGTTAAGTACCCCTTAATCCTTTTTTTTTTTGATACTAAGTTCCCCTTAATCTATTCAGCTTCAGGACTATCGAAAGATGGAGATCTGGAGTAGATAGAATAGTTGTAAATTGCAATATTTGCAGGTGTCATATTTCAAATCTCTAAATAAATATGTTTCAATATTTTACTTGTTAGTTAATATTATTAGCGATGGACGACGTTCGTTGCAAGTAAATAAATTTAAATAATATTATTTTTATAAAAAAATATAAATTATATATAATGAAATTAAATTANAGATGGACGACGTTCGTTGCACGTAAATAAATTTAAATAATATTATTTTTATAAAAAAATATAAATTATATATAATTAAATTAAATTAAATAATAAATTAGGTGCTAAATAATTAATCCATATTTAATTATTGTTAAATTTAATCATTAATTTATTCTATAAGTTTTTGAGTATTTAATATGTCATTTATTTAGATATCTCTCTTACCTTTTTAGACATTTTCGCATATAATTATATTATAAAATTATTAATTTTATTTTGTTAACTAAATAAANCGATGGACGACGTTCGTTGCAAGTAAATAAATTTAAATAATATTATTTTTATAAAAAAATATAAATTATATATAATGAAATTAAATTAAATAATAAATTAGGTGCTAAATAATTAATCCATATTTAATTATTGTTAAATTTAATTATTAATTTATTCTATAAGTTTTTGAGTATTTAATATGTCATTTATTTAGATATCTCTCTTACCTTTTTAGATATTTTCGCATATAATTATATTATAAAATTATTAATTTTATTTTGTTAACTAAATAAATTATATCACTTATAATATATTATTATATTATAGTATAGCAAAAAATAAAATATAACATGTCTATAATATTTTTTTATAATATAAAATAGCATAGGCTTCAATAAATTTATTTGACGGTAAAAAATAGACTGATGCGAGGGCTCATTTAATATACTAGTAATATTTGCAGGTGGCATCCCTACAAGCTGAGCTGGCAATNATTTTTTATAATATAAAATAGCATAAGCTTCCATAAATTTATTTGACGGTAAAAAATAGACTGATGCGAGGGCTCATTTAATATACTAGNTTTTTTTATAATATAAAATAGCATAGGCTTCAATAAATTTATTTGACGGTAAAAAATAGACTGATGCGAGGGCTCATTTAATATACTAGTAATATTTGCAGGTGGCATCCCTACAAGCTGAGCTGGCAATGGTGCAAAACCAGTTGATAAACAGTAGGTTTGCAGTAGCAAATGCCATTCAGAGCTCACATCAACAGCAACACCTTGCAATGCCACAGCCAGCGTACTCCAACGCCTCTTCAGCTTCAAATTGCCTCATCAACTTCAACTCTAGTTTTGATCTCGCGGTGGCGGGGGAAAACACTCCCTCTTCACAAAGGTTTGAGCATCTTCAACTTTGCGGACCCACTCAAGATGAAGAGGAAGATGAACAAGACAGTCGCAATCCAGTGGCATTTCCTAATCAAATACTTCACTCCAGATAACGTTTCTGATTATTTGCTGTACAAATAACTGGATCTGCCTTGAAGGAGTAGCAGTCATATAATTGTCAGCGCATACTCTCTCTCTGACATTAAATTTTCAGTATAAGCAGTGCCTTCCTAACAAAATTTACATATGAAATTTTATGGCTTGGTTTATAAGATTTTATCATTTCCTTTTTTTTTTTTTTGTCATATGATTTTAACAATTCAAAATTATGTTCTATCATTGTTTTTGTTGTTTTCAATGTATAACCTTCACATCATTCAAGCCTTCACGATAGTTTGGCAAAAATATTAGATTGGCTTTAACACACAGACCGAAATAATGCGACTGAAATGTGTCAGTGCTGATTGAGAAATGTTCTAATCTGATGCTTGAACTATCAGAATCGTCTTAAAATTCAATCAAATGAAATTTATTGTTTATTTTTAAAAGTTTTCTTTGGTGCTTGTTTTAAATTTTTGTCGGAGAATTTTACTTAATCCCCACCGACACACATCCCTGCAAGAAAAAATAATTTTTGGTTCACTTTTTTTTTTTTTGGTTTTGGCATTTTGCCGGTGCAAAAATGATATTTTGCTTTAACATTAGAAATTGATAATTCTAAAGAGTAATTCAAGTGGTAACAGATATAATTTATAAACTCAAACGTGTTAGTTTAAATATTGACAAATCTTTGGAGTCAAATCAAGAGAAATTTATCTTTCATGAATACCTTAGATCGTATGCCTTTGATTGGATTAGGGAAATGAACATCCTAGTCCCAGCGTAGATGGTTTGCCTTTGATTGGACTAGGAAAATAATTAGTTGAGGTGCACGTAAATTGGTTCGGACATCTTTGACCATTTAACCAAAAAAAAAATTGATGCAAAAGATTAAATTTTTTGCATCAACAGCGAAAACTAATGTCTCTTGGATTTATCGATTTCAATACCCCTCCACCTTGGATTTATTGACTTCAATACCCCTTGCAGAAACTATATAGTCAAACACAATTCCTTTCGTCACCATAAAGTGACACTTTTTCCAATTCAAGACTAGATTCTTCTTCTTACATCTTGTTAGAACTCTCTCCAAGTTTGTCAAACATCCCTCGAATGAATCCCCAAACACCGAAAAAAATCGTCCATAAAGACCTCTACTATCTTTTCCACCATGTCACTGAAAATCCCCATCATACAGCGTTGAAACATCCCTGGAGCATTGCATAGTCCAAATGACATGCTGTGGTAGACAAAGGTACCATAGGGGCACGTGAATGTGGTCTTCTCTTGATCCTTCAAAACAATCTCAATATGATTGTAGCCGGAGTATCCATCTAAAAAGCAGTAGAATAGATGCCCCGTTACACGTTCTAGAACTTGATCGAGGATTGACAATGAGAAGTGGTCTTTTCTTGTGTAAACGTTCAACTTTCGGTAATCAATGCACACCCTCCATCCGGTGAACAATTTTGTAGGTATAAGTTCATTCTCGTCATTCTCAACCACTGTAACTCCGGATTTCTTAGGTACTACTTGTTTGGGGGCTAACCCACTTACCATAGGCGATTGGAAAAATGATTCCCACATCAAGTAGTTTCAGAACCTCATCCCTCACCACCTCCTTCATGATGAGATTCAACCGTCTTTGTGGTTGTCGGGAAGGTTTGGAATCCTCTTCAAGATATATGTGGTGGGTGCAAATGAGAGGGCTTATCCCCTTGATATCCCCAATGGTCCACCCAATTGCTCCTTTATGCTTTCTCAAAACCTCCAAGAGTTCTTTTTCTTGTTCCATGTTCAATGTATAGCTAATGACCACCAGAAATGTTTCACCTTCCCCAAGATAGACATACTTCAAATAGGAGGGCAAGGGCTTCAACTCCAAGTTGGGCTTTTGTTCATCCGACGGAAATTTTTTTTTTTCTCAATGGGGTAACTCTTTGAATGTAGGGATCCACCTTTCCATCCCTTTCAAATCTTCGACCTCCTCTTACTCATCATAATTATCAAGATCCACAATTCCTTCTTTCTTGAATTTCAACATCCCCTCAAGTTCCAAGTGCTCGTCAACCAAAGTGTCGATTCTATTGACCTCACTTACTTCCTCATCATCACCCGATTGTTTTGCCAAGTTGAATACATTGAGCTCCATTGTCATATTCCTAAATGCCAACTTTATTAGACCGTTCTTGCAATTTATCACGGCATTAGATGTAGCAAGAAAGGGTCTTCCAAGTATTACCAAAATTTGGGATCTAAGGTTTGCAGTAGGGTGTGTATCAAGCACAATGAAATCGACAGGGAAGTAAATTTATCAATTTGAATCAAGACATCCTCAACTACTCCCCTTGGTGTACGGATACTACGATTCGCCAATTGAAGCATGATTGAGGTGGGTTTCAACTCCTCAAGCTGAAGCTGTTGATACAACGAGTAGGGAAGAAGATTCACACTTGCCCCAAAATCGAGGAGTGCTTGTTCAACTCAACAATTTCCAATGGTGATGGCTATGGTTGGACAACTGGGGTCTTTGAATTTGGGAGGAGTGTTGGTCCTTAATATTGAGCTCACTTGTTCTGTGAAGAATGCCTTCTTGTGAAAATTCAATCTTCTTTTCACCGTGCATAGATCCTTCAAAATTTTAGCACAAGATGGGATTTGCTTGATGGCGTCGAGAAATGGAATATTAATCTTCACCTGCTTAAACATTTCTAAAATATCAGCATAATTAGCCACCTTGACAGGTGGCCTCAAACGACTCGGGAAAGGGGCAGGCATGGGAGGAATAAACACACAATCATTAATTAATTTTTCTTTCTCAATAATCTCTCTTTCTTTCTCTTCACTCACTGCACCCTTGTCGACGTCACTCAAGATATCTTTTCCTTTTGGCAATGTGGTCTTGGGTGAGACCGTTGGCAAAATGGTTTTGTCAATTTCTTTGCCACTACGGAGGGTGGTGATAGCTTTGAGTTGCTCGCAACTCTTTATCAAAGGCTCCGATGACTCAACAATGTGTTGACCCCTAGGGTTCTTTTGTGGTTGAGCGGGGAACTTCCCCTTTTCTTGTTGAGATGCCCCTATGGAGTTTGTCAACTTTGTGAGTTGGGCTCTTATATCATTGATGGTTGTGGCATTTTGGTTATTGATGGCGGTTTGGCTTTGAATGAAGGAATGAACCATATCCTCTAAATTCTTTTTGTGCGGAGGTTGGTATCTGGATGGATTGGATGGTCCTTGAGAAAAACTTTGTGAAGGAGGACTTGGAGAAAAATTTTGTGGTGGCGGTTTTGACTGATACCCTTGTGGATTGATCATTGGGTATTGAGAGCTAGATGCTTGCCCTTGGCCATGGTATTGGTTTTGCTTAGGAGGCATAGGAGATGAATATGCACTTGACCCGTGAGGAATGAGGTTCTCATTTCTCCAACTGAAATTTGGGTGATTACTCCACCCTGAATTGTAGGTGTTCGAATTGAGAGAAAATGATTGCCTTGGTTGGTTGAATGCATGGACTTGCTCATGGTATGCTTCCTTAAGTGCTGGAATAGTAGGACATTCTGATGTGGAATGCTCTACACTCTCACAGATTACACATTCTTCACAATGTTGGAAACATTAGACACCTGATGTCTCCGATTGACTTCAAGACTCTCTACTTTCCTTGACAATTTAGCAATTTTTGAAAGTAAGTCTTCTCGGTCTCTCAAATCATATATCCCTCCCCCTTGTGGTTGACTACTACCCGAGGACATCCTAGGTACATCGTTGGAATCCCTAATGTCCCAAGATTGTGCATTTTGGGCCAGTGTACTAAAATAGTCCAGGGCCTCATCAGGGTCTTTGTTCAAGAACTCGTCATTGCACATATGTCAATGAATTGTCTATGGCTTGGTGTGATTCCTTCGTAGAAGAAACTTACCAGTTGCCATGATTCAAAGCAATGGTGTGGTATGGATTGTATTAACTCCTTGTAGCAATTCCAGCATTGATAAAATTGCTCATTGGGTTTCTCAGAAAAATTTTGAATTTCCTTTTTTAAAGCAGTGGTTCTATGACTGGGAAAAAAATTGTTTAAGAATTCAGAGAGCATTTGAGTCCAAGAGGTAATGGATCGAGATCGCAAGGCATACAACCATGATTTGACTTTATCACTAAGAGAGAAAGGAAACAATTTCAGTCGAGCTATGTCCTCCATAGCATAGTTAGCATTAAAGGTTGCAACTATATCCTCAAACTCCCTTATGTGGGTGTAGGGATTTTGCTTCTCAAGCCTATGGAATGTAGGAAATAGTTGCAACATTCCTGAATTAACTTGGAAAAGATGAGCTTGGACAGGTAAATGGATGCAGGAGGGTGTGGTGCTACGGGTTGGTTGAAGGAAATCCCTTATAGACCTCATCGGAGGGTCCATTGGGAAGTTATTCCCTTCATTCGTGGGAGGGGGAATTTGCATCCGTGGATTAGGCATTCTAGGTTCGGGCACTCCCCCACCCCTTGGAACATTTGGATTGTCACCAAGATTATCAAAATTATCACCCGCATCCTTGGGTGGGTTTTGATCAATATTCATGTCGGGGTCTAAGGGTTGTTTAACTAATCGGTTTTGTTCGTCCCTTTCCCACATGCATTAAACTATCTAAAAATCAAATTATACACAAATAAGGATGTATATACATAGAACAACATATCTCAGCCCATGATGATGATCACGGGACTTACCTCCGTCGTCCGAAAATCACCTTCTCGATTCGACACTTGCCTTCCCCGGCAACGGCGCCAATAATACTTAGTTATTTTCCTTGTTATCCCTAACCCCTAAATATCATCCCTCAAAATACATTTTTTATGGATGGAGGGGATTGTCACTTTCCCTTTAAGTAGTATCAAAAGAAAGGGCAAGGAGATGGGAAAATGGGATGGTGGAAATGTGTTATGTGCATGAACAAAAATGCTCCCCAAGCATAAGGAGATTTTTGTGGATCGTGTTTTACTTGGAGGTACTCCAAGGTCG